AAGGTTGGAGGATCATTTGAGTCCAAGAGTTAAAGACCAGTACGGTTAACAGATCAAGAACCAGTCTTGACAACAAAAAAGAAGGGAACAAGAAAAACAGAAAGCCTGATTCATAAAGCCTGTGAGAGGCTAGAGGTTCTACATTTTTACAAGCTCCCAAATGATGTTAATGTTGCTGGACCATAGACCACACTTTTAGTAGCAAGGTTCTACTATAAAAACCCTATATACATAAGGTGACACACTTTTGGCTAAATAAGAATAATTTTAATTTAAATATGTCATAAAATAAATTATATTTTAATTACAAAAAATAGAGCACAGGTCCAGGGGTATAGCTCAGTGATACAGCACTTACCTAGCATTTGTGAGGCTCAGGGTTCAATCCCCAGCATAGTCCATATTCTCTGTCTCTCTCTCTCTCTCTCTCTGTCTCTGTCTCTCTCTCTCTCTGTATATATACATATATATGTGTGTATTAAAAATTTAAAAATAATACCACAAACATTAAAAAGATAGTAAAAATAGGGCCAGAGATTTAGCTCAGTGGTTCTGCCACCTGCCTTGCAAGCACAAGGTCTAGAGTTCCATCCCCAGTACCAAAAAAAAAAAAAAAAGATAGTAAAAATGAATAGGAATAATTTTATGCTAATGAAATTGAAAAATTAGAAGAGTTGCCTAAATTCTTTGAAAAATATATCTTATCAAATATGATTCAAAAAAATAGCAAATCTGAAAACTCCTTGTATTAGTCATATTTCCATTACTATAATAAAATATTTGAGATACTCAATTCATAAAGAGAAGAGGTGACTAGGAATGGTGAAATGCCTATAATTGCACCTACTCAGGAAATTGAAGCAGGAGGATAGCAAGTTCTAGGTCAGGTTGGGCAACTTAGTGAGACTGTCTCAAAATAAAAAAGAGATGGGAATGGAGCTTAGTGGTAGAATGACTCTTGGTATGATTCCCAGTACTGCTTAGAGAGAGAGAGAGCTGAAACAGAATTAGTTGAATCCAACTCCATACCATACATAATATTGAACAGTTAGAGAGAGGTTTCCCTTGTTTTAGAAGTTCCAGTCCATACTTGTTTGGGTATCATTGCTTTAGGTTTGTGGAAAGGCAGCACATCATGGCAGGAATGCATGAGGGACCAAAACCACTCACCTCATGACAAGGAAGCAAAAGAGAAGAAAAAGAAAGGACTGGGGTCTCAATGTCCCCAGCAAGGGCACAATCCCAGTGACCTAAGGTTCTCCCACTAGGCTTCCACCTCCTAACAGCACCAAGCCCTAAATACATGGACCTCTGGGAAACATTCAAGATTCAAACTATAGTATTCCTATATTTATAAAGAGAAATTGAGACTCTATTTAAAACTGTCTCCCTAAAATACCTCCTTCAAACATTTCAGAAATCATATCATTGATATTATACAAAATCTAACAATAAAAAATAAAGAAAAGTTTCCAACTCATTTTAGAAGACCAGCAAAACATCACTATCAAAACCTAACAAGATCACAGCTTTTTGTTGCTCTGACCAAATACTTGAGAAAAACAACTTGAAGGAGAAAAGGTTTATTGTGACTTACAGGTTTCAGAGGTTTCAGCCCATGGTGGCTTATTCCATTGCCATGCGCCTGAAGTGAGGCAGAAACACTATGGCAAAATGAAAGTTGTTTACCTTACAAGCAGCCAGGAAGCAGAGCAGGGATAAAGACCCAGAGAGGAAGGGCTCTGGTACCATACATAGTTCCCAAGATCACAATCCCATGATTCATTCCCTTCAATTAGGCCCCACCTCCTGTTTCCATCACCTCTCATAATGCCATCAAACTGTGATCTCATCAATGGATTAATTCGCTGATAAAGTTAGTGTTTATGATCCAATCACTTTGAAAAGCCTCACCTCTAAACGTATGAACCTTTTAGGAGACATATTTTATCCAAACCATAACACTAGGTAAGGAAAATTGCAAGCCAATCACTCACAAACATAGACTCGAATACTTTAAATTTGATATTTTCAGGTTTACTACTTCATCTTATTAAAAACTATATATATCCACTTCGATCTTAATTTAGTGCATGGTGATAGGCATGGGTCAAGTTTTAATCTTTGGCAGTTTGAAATCCAGTTTTTCCAACACCATTTTTCAAATAGGCTATCTTTCCTCCAATGAGGATTGTTGGCTCCTTTGTCTTGAAGATATTGGTATAGGAAAAGATTTTATGAACAAAACCTCGGTGGCATGGGAACTTGCACAAAGAATCAACAACTGGGATCTTATTAAAAAGCTTCTGCACTGCAAGAGAAACCACCAACAGAGCTAAGAGACAACCTACAATGTGGGAAAAAATTTTCAGCAACTGTACCTTGGATAAAGGACTACTATCTAGAATATATAAAGAACTGAAAAAAAATCAGACACCCCAAATTCAAAGACCCAATTCAAAACTGGGCATCTGAAATGAACAGACATTTCTCAGACAAAGAAGTAAAAGCAGCAAATAAATACACGAAAAAATGTTCAACATCACTGGTTATTCGAGACATGTAGATGAAAACAACACTGAGATCCCACCTCACCCCAGAAAGAATGGCTGCTATTAAGAAATCAACCAATAACAAATGCTGGCAGGGTTGTGGGGAAAAAGGAACCCTTCTCCATTGTTGGTGGGAGTGCAGACTGGTGCAACCACTGTGGAAATCAGTATGGAGATACCTCAAAGAACTAGGACTAGAGGTCCCATTCGACCCACCTATCCCCCTGCTGGGTATCTTCACAAAAGAATTGAAAGAATCTTACCACAGTGATATATGTGCACCCATGTTTATAGCGGCACAGTTCGTAATAGCAAAAGCTTGGAAACAGCCAGTGCCCATCAACTGGAGACTGGATAAAGAAGATGTGGTTTTTTTATAAAATGGAGTACTACTCAGCCATAAAGAACAAGAAACTAGAGACATTTATAGCTAAATGGATGCATATTGAGGCCATCCTCTTAAGTGAAATAAATAGGACATACATGTGTAAATACCAAATAGTTTCTCTAGTGTGAGAAACTGAAAGTGTAATTAAGGATACACACAGATGAAATTGCCTAATACCATATTTCTCGGATTGTGTTTCCATCGCATGTCATATGACTGTATAAAAATTTAAATTAGGGCGAAGTTTGGCTTATGTGGAGTCTGCTAACGAACTGGAGGGTTTTTTCCAGATCATTATTTGTCCAGTGTTGGTTTGGGGGATCTTTCTGAAACAAATCACATCCTCTGGTGTCTTGTTGGTGCTTGAGATGCTTTTTTAAGTTATATGGAAAAATGTTTAAGTGCTTTTCAGTTTTGTTTTGGTTGACTTCTACTGCATTTGAATATTATTGCAGTTTTTTTCCCCTTGCATTGTTCTTGAGTGGTTTTAATTTTTTGTATGTGTGTGTGTTTGATAATAAAGTTATTTAATAAAAATATATATATATAGCTAGGCTCTGTGACACCTCTAATCCTAGTACTGATTGAGGCTGAGGCAATAGGATCCAAAATTTGAGTCCTGGCTCAGCAATTTAGCAAGACCCAGTCTCAAAATTAAAAAGAGTACTTACTTTTAGCACATATCCTAAAAATAAATAAGGTTGAATGTAGCTCTGAGGTAGATTGTCCGTGGGTTTGATGTCCCAGTACCCTCCCATATAATCATATATATATATATATATATATATATGATTAAATATAGCATGGTTTCTCTTATAAGAGAAACCCAAAATATAAAGAGCAAAATAAAAGATAATAAGAAATAGGGAGATAGATTTTTTGCATAAGGGAAGAGAACTAAGAAACAAAGGGAAGGAGGGAAGGAAGGGGGAGGGGAATGAAAAATTAAGATGTTATATACATGTTCCAACTCCCCACAAGTAATTTAATCATTATGTACTGTAAACATGTACTAATAAAAATTGAAAAAAAATTAATGAACACATTTTGAGACAGAATATTGCTAAATTGCTAAATGGCCCAGCCAGGCCTTCAACTTAGAATCCTCCTCTCAACCTCCCAGAATGCTGAGATTACAGGTATGTGCCACCATGCATGGCCAGGATAGCTACAATTTTAAAAGACTGACAATACTATGTGTTGACAAGAATTTTGAACAACTGGAAATCTTACACATTTCTGGTTGAGGTGTGAGGAAAAAATTTTGGCAGCATGTAGTAAAACTAGATATGTTTATATTGTATAACTGAGGAATTCCAGTCCTGGATGTATTTGAATCAGGAATGAGTCCACAAGTCCATCAAAAGATATGCTTAGGAGTGAGGGAAGGTCCTCAAAAAAAAAAAGAAAACATAGAAATGTTCATAGCCTCACATTAGAAATAACCCAAAAGATTGAACTGTGGTACACTAATGTAGTGGAATATTAAACAATGAAAACGATGATATTTTGTGTGCATGTGTTTCTTTCCTCCCCCTCTCTCTCTCTGATGTGCTGTTGCTGGTAAGAAATAACCAAGATCAGTTCTTAAGGACTAGGGAGAAAAGAAAGAAGGAGAAATAGGTTATCCCCCTATTCTGAAGCCCTGATGTGCTACCATTAGACAAAAAACAACAGAAACTATAGATAGAAAAGACAATTTTCAATAGGAAATAAATATTTCATAGTAAACAGCATGTTGTCATGTAGTATGTATGGAAAATCTTTTAAGTCTTCAGATGTTACTTTTAAAGAAGAAAAAAAGAAGCCAGATAGTAAAACAACATTTTCCAAGTAGTCACATACATTCGTCTTCCAAAATATATAAATCTAATTAACTCAAAAGGACCTTTACTCAAAAACGTTTGAGTCATCAAACTTAGATAATTGTAAATCTAAAATTGTAGTCTTTGTGACGAAGACCCTCACCCATACTGAATAATTTTTATTAAGAAGTAGTGACAAGTATCTGGCAATTTTCTCCAGCCTCAACTTCTCCCACAGCCACGTTAAACAACCGGGGTTCGCGGGGTGGCGCGGCTGGCAGGGGACAGAGCCGCACCACCGCGAGCTCCCAGAAAGCCAAGCGGACCCTCAGCTCCCAGCCTCGCCCTGTGGAGAAGCCCGGCCCTTGGTCTGGTTTGAAGCTAGCCCCGCCCCGAGGCCTAGCCCCGCCCCGGAAGCGTGGCCTCCACCCGAGAGTAGCCGCGTCTCTATGGAAACGACCCCCCACCTGGAGAAAGACTAAGAGTACTATGGCTGCTGGGGAGCCGGGGGTTTCAGGCGGTTACTACTTCAGGTTCCTGCCTCAGAAAACCTTCCCATCTCTGAGCGCCCCGGAGACCACCAGCCGGCTCCGCCAGTGGTGAGGGGCCGAGGGGTAGTGGGAGAAGAGCCCCTGGGCCTTCACGGCTGAGAAGCGCCAGGCGGGCGTCGAGGGCGCGCGAGCCGCAGCGGGCCGCACCTGCGTGGAGCCGAGAGGCAGCAGTGCCACGCGGGCTGGGCGGGTCCGGGTTGGCACTGGCGGGTTTTCTAGTCTGAGTGGGCGCCAGCCCGAGGCTCACCCTTTTTCCTTCTCTGCCCCAGGTCCATGCTGGGCAGAATCAAGGCGCAGGCGTTCGGGTTTGACCAGACCTATCGGGCCTATCGGAAGGATGACTTCGTTATGGTTTGTATGGGTGTTGGAAAGTTACCAGTTCTCTGCTGATTTTTAACTTTTCCCCATGTCAGCATATATTCCTTTTTTTTTTTTTTTTTTTTGTACTGGGGATCGAACTGGGGACCTTGCGCTTGCGAGGCAGGCGCCGGAACCACTGAGCTAAATCCCTGGCCCTGTCAGTGTATATTCTTATGACTATGCCATTCCTTAGTCATGTCGTTTTCTTGGAGTTTGGGAGTAATAAAAGATGCAAGGTATTTTAAAAGTAACTTTTACATTTTCTCTGACCCAAAATTTGTTTTGTTGTTTTTGGTTTTTTTGTTTTGTTTTTTTGAAACCGAGTTTTGCTTGAGTCTTGCTAAGTAGTTCAAGCAAGCCTTCAACTCATTAAGGAGCCCAGGCTGGCCACAAACACAGAGATCCTCCTACCTTAGCCTCCACAGTGCTGGGTGTCCCAACCACCACGCCTCGCCATAAATTTTTCATTTAACTTATTTTTTTCCTACTTTCAGTATCCTGCCTTACAGGAGAACTTTCCAGTCCTGGTCAGTTTTTTTTTTAGTAGGCACTTCTCATTTTTAATATTATTACCCAGCTTTTTTTTGTTTTGTTTTGTTTTATTTTGGTTTTTTGGTACCTGGATCGAACTCGGGTCCTCCCACTTGCGAGGCAGGCGACAGAACCACTGAGCTAAATCTGCGGCCCTATTACCCAGCTTTTATCACTGACTTTTTTCTAGGCTTAGCACAAGATTATTTTTAGTTATTTCTCAAAATTAAATACACCCTGAGAACTGTACTTCAGGCTGTACTGGAGTTCTGAATAAAGAATTCCCTAAAAAAGTTGTAAGTAATGGCATAGTGGTTAGAATACATAAATCTTTAGCTAGAGGTAAAACTTCAAAATGTTTTGTGTGCTCCTTAAAATCATTATTTTTAATCCTTTTTTCCCCTCTCCTCTCTCACCCCTCAGTCAATTTGAAAATAATTTTAGGGTTTGTGAATGATCCTCATTCTTTGCTATTCATGTCCTGTAAGCATGGACTTTAGTTTCTATAGTAATTGGCATAATTTACTCATTCTCAAACACTGAGGACCTATGAGATGGTACGAATTTCTTCGGGTGCTGGAGGTAGAGGAGGAACAAAGCAAAAGTCCAACTTTCAAGGGCCTTATGGGCCCTTGGCAAGATTGCCAATAAACCAAAAAAAATCAGATCATTGCATATAGTGATAAGTGCAATGAATAAGAAGGGATAGAGAAAGGAGAACATTAAGCCAGGTTGTCTCACAGTTCTGGAAGCTAGAAATACAAGATCAAAAGGTTGATATGTCCATTATCCTTCCAAAACCTTTGCCTCTTCCTTGTTGGTGATGGTTACAAGTAATCTTTAGCATTTTTTGGTTACAGCTGCAACATTTTAATATCTACCTCTGCCTAAGTCATATACAGCTTTTGCACCTCTGTGTTTATGTCTTTTCTTTCGAAAGCACCAGCCATGTGGAATGAAGGGCCTTGCTACTCCAGTGTAACCTTATTTTAACTAATTACATCTGTGATGATGGCCCTATTTTCAACTAAGTTCACTTTCTGAGGTTTCAGAATGGACACTTTTAACCCATAATAGAAGATAAATTGGTTAAATGTCTATCCCTTTCTGAGATAGTTTATAATGTTAATATAATGCTACTATTAATTGCATTTCTTATATACTCATGGTTAGACTTTTATAGCTTTTTATAATTTTCATTTATACCAGTACTGGCTCTCAATTTTTTTTAGAAAAAAGATGATCAATATTTCAATTCACTGAATTTTAGAGTGGTATAAAAATTTTCAGGATTATTCATTTATTCAGTAAGTGTTAGACTGCTTATTGTGTCCTAGATTCCAGTTTACAAGGCTGTACAGTTTGGGAAGCTAGGAATGCTTAAAAAAAGTCTCTACAACACAGTAAAATACTGGGGGATATAGAAGATATCCTAGATACAGGGAAAAAAATCACCCAGCCAAAGGATTTTGGATGTTGGGGATATTTTCACAGAAGAGGGTATCAAGGGGTTGTTTTAGTTTTTGGTTGGTCAATACAGAGTTCTGTAACAGATTCCAGGAGCCATCCATAGAGCACAACAGATTTCTACAATTCCAGACAGTACTTTTCCAGTTTTAACACTTCATGTTTATCTTTTTTATTTCCATGAAGCTGTGTCACTCCCACATTTTAATACCAAAAAAAAGACAATTATTATTTTTATTCATGCAACTTACTTGAATGGAAATAAAGCATTGTGTTTAAGAGTATGCCCCAGAAGATGATTTATTTTTATTTCTTTTTATTTTCTTTTTTTTTTTGAGGCAGGTCAAGTGATCCTCTTGCTTCCAGCCTTTGTAGTGGCTGGGACTACAGGCACACTATCATCCCTGGCTTGGAATTAATAAATCTTTAGGGCCCCTCATTGATTTAACATCCTCACATACAAAGAAGATCTGAGAGATTCTAGCACTGTGTTCACATGGCCATATGTTTTTGAAAATTTTTTAAAAGTTGTTTTTGTTTTCTTGGAGTAATTGAAATCGTATAAGCCTAAGGCACTTTAAAATCTGAATCCTTCGTTGATTTGGCCTCTAATTAGCTGTCTTGAGTTTAAATTCCAACTCTGGAACTTACAAGGTATGTGACATTAGAAAGTGATTAACCTTCCTCAGCCTTTACCTTTCTACAAAGTGGTCACAGCACTTAACATTTAATAGGTGTAAGTTTAGTGTTTGACCCTTATATTCACTAAAAACTGAAACTCAAAGAAAGTTAAGTAATTTGTTCATGATCCCAACAGAATTTTGACTCCAAAATCCCTGCTGTTTTTGTTTTGTTGTTTGTTTTTCTGGTATTAGAGTTTGAAACCAAGGCCCTCACACTAAGCTACATCCCCAGCCCTCTTTTATTTTTAATTTTGAGACATGGCCTCACTAAGTCTCTGAATTGCCAAGGCTAGGCTGGAATTTATAATCCTTTTCCTTCAGCCTTCCAGATTACAGGCATAGGCTACAACACCCAGCTTCCCTGCTATTTCTACTACATGGACTCATAACTAAACGAAAGCTATTGCTTAAACCAGAATTTCAGATTTTGAATTTACTTTCCACAAAGACCTATGTTCCAGAGGTTTATTTGTGAGGGAGTAAATGGAAAAAAGGAAAACATTTATACAGCAGACATTTCTTTTGTTTCTAAGTTTGTGCCGATGAATACACAAAGAGTGGAGGAAAAAACAAAAAATTATATTCAGAGTGAGAAACAACATTACCATAGGCACAAGATACTTTGGTGACACAAGAAAGTGATCAATTTTTAAAATAAATTTTTAAACATTTAAGTAGTTACCATATTTTTGATCACTGAAACATCCTTTTGATCAAGGTGATCAGAGAAGGATTTGACAAAAGACAAGATTTTTGAGCTAGGATGTGAAAGATAAGGAGTTTGTCAGGTAGTAAAGATAGCGGTGGAGAGATAGGTGGGATACTCTTAGAAGAACTCTGCTACAAAAGGAGTTTGGGCTTTAGCTAATGAAGAGATGCTGAAAGATTTTATAGAAGGCTAAAATAATGGAAATGTGACTTAGTGGTGGAGTACTTGCCTAGCCTACACAAGATGGGGTTTAATCCCTGGCACCATAGTAAAATATTGAGATCACCTTGGCAGAAGTGTAGAAGATGGATTGTTCAGACAGTCTGGAAGCATGAAACTGTATCAGAAACCATCATCTAGACCAGTAGTGGCAACCTATGGCACGTGTGCTGCAGTGGGCTGTTTGTTATCATTGAAAGCTCTAAAAAGTTCACCATCACTTATCTAGACAGTATATGATGATGTCCTGACTTAAGACTAACACCTGAATAGCCAGCTAGGGAGGCATTTAGGAGAGAGGCTTAAGGAATAATAAGGCATTGAGTAAAGGACAGAGGAACCCTTATGATAAATCCTAAGTTTCTGGCTTGATTGACTTGATGGTGCTGTTAGATGCATAGAAAACATGAATAAATAAGGAAAATAAGTTTAGTGTTAGGCATTTTCAGCTGGAGGTACATCCAAGTAGCAATATACTACATATATAATGTCTAACTTTTGGTCTCAAGACAAAGCTTTGAGATCAGTACATAGTGTCACCATCCTCACCATGATACCAGATAATGATGAAGGGAGTGTTCCATATAAACAAGAAAGTTAATTTGCAGTGCTTCTTAAAGCCCTGCACAACACTTAGGCTTACATCTCATGACCACAACTTAGGCATGTGACCATATCTGAGGGAGGATAGGAAATGCAGACTTAGCTAAACACATTACAGTCCTAAATAAATCAGAACTCGTTAAGGAAGAGAGGATTGATACTGAATTAGAAACCAGCTGTTTGCCAGATAGATAATGTAGTTAAATATCTACTTACATTGTAATTTAGAAATACTTTTTCTCTCACATGCAGTGAAACAAGTGTATTTAAAATCTTCATGTATTTTAATATCAGTATCTGTTATTAAGTTAGTTTATAAGTTGCCCAGTATTTTTGCAAAGTACATCAGCTTTCCTAAAGTTGACACACAGAGAATCCCTTGTAATGCCGCACCACAAATTCTGTAACAAAATACCACCTACAAATAGAGTTATTTGTAAATTCATCTTAGGTGTAGAATTATAATTTCAATAATAAAACTTACATTGCTTTATTTAAGGGGCCTTTTATCAAAGACCTGTTTTCATTGGTATGTCTATTTTTGCTGGTCACTTGATCAACTTCCGTTTATAGAGACATAAAAAACATGTGATTGTAAATTAATAATACCAGGAATAATTACTAAATCCAGTGCTCTCATTTGACAGATTTCAAAAAAGTTAGAAAGCAACTTCCTTTCTTGAGGAATAATTTTAAGGAAATTTAAAAAATAATCATGCATAGTATTTTTGGTTTTTTTTCTGTATGTTTTTATTGTGGTGCTTGCAATCAAATTCAGGGCTTCGTGCATGCTAGGCAAGTGCTATACCTCTAAGATACAACCCTAGCCTTTCTTTTAGTTTTTTTTAATATGTATACCTGTAATTAAATTAAACATCCACTGCTAGAATGTAAACGGCATAAGGACAGAACCTGTCTTACTTGTCTTAGTAAATGCAATCATAAATAATCCTCACATCCCTAGTCCTCTTCATTATGTCTTTTTCATTACATGGCATTCTGTCTGCCTAGTTTTTCATGAAGTAACCCCAGGAGTCATCTTTGACTACCCTCACTCCCATTTTTTTTCTTCTCCCATAAGTATCATTGAATCCATATTCTTTGTACTTGCTACCACTCCGACTGCTGTGAATATCACCTCTTACTGATCATTTGTGCCAGCAGTCATCCTCCTAACTAGTCTTTACAGCTCTTCAATTCATTCTCCACCCTGTAGCCATTATAATTTTTTTTTTTTTTTTTGAGACAAGGTCTCTTGTAGACCAGGCTGGCCTCAAACCTGTGGTTTCCCTGCATTCTTCTCCCATATGTTGGTGTGTACTACCATGTCCAGCTAAGAATAAATTTTAAAAAATAAGATTCTAAGGGCCGGGGATTTAGCTCAGTGGTTTTGTCACCTGCTGCGCAAGCACAAGGACCCAAGTTCGATCCCCGGTACCCCCCCCCAATAAAAAAGATTCTAGGTGAGTGTAATGGCACCCATCTGTAATCCCAGATACTGGGGAGGACGAGGCAGGAGGATTACAAATTAACATCCAACCTGGATCCTTGCAATTTAGCAAGACCTGTCTTGAAATTAAAATAAGAAAAAGGGCTGAGGATGTAGCTCAGTGATAGAGAGCTTGCCTAATAGATCAGACTGAGTTCAATTTGCTCATCTGCATGCACCCCCACACAGATTAAAATTTCTTCACTTGACTACAAAATCTAGTTTAACTCCTACCCTCATCTGATCATTTTCCTTCTACTGTGCTCCTTCTGTTTTTTACTTTCCTTGAATGGAATAGCCAATCCTTTCTTACCTTGAAGCCATCACACTTGCCATTTTCTCCACTTTATAAAGTGGTCTTGAGCCAGGGATTTAGCTCAGTGGTTCCAGAGCCTGCCTCGCAAGCACAAGGTCCTGAGTTTGATCCCCAGTACCTAAATAAATAAATAAATAAATAAAGTGGTCTTTTCAGTGGCATGTTGGAACCAGCTGAAGATAGCCAGACTGCTACATTTTCAGTAATCTTTCTTTGCTGGTTGTTAAAACTTTTAGCAATTTAAAGACCACAATGAAAATTGGCAAATGCTAGCTAGGTTTAGTGAAATAGGTATAGGCATAATAAGGCTATCATTAACTCACTGTACCCCAGGATGGCCTCGAACTCAAAGAGATCCTCCTGCCTCAGCCTAGTAAGGGCTGGGATTACAGACTTGTGCGACCATCCTCACCATGATTTTTTTTATGAATTGTTCTTTACTGCTTAAATTGTTACAGTAAATATTATTTTTCAACATTATCTTCAAGCAGTCACTCTGTTTTTCTAAGATTCTTGAAGAAGGGGTCTAAGCTGTCTGTCTCAATTCTCTATCATTTATTCCTCTGTATCTGGCATCTGTTCCCTTCATTAAACTAAAAGTACCCTTGACTTCCTAATTTCAAAATCTAATGAGCACTGTGTTTGCCCTCAAGGAGCTTAAAAACTAAAAAAGAAGACAGTTAATGTGCCATATTACAAAGGAGTACAAGCTGTTATCCATGTACATAATAGACAATACTAATCTAATGTTCAGAAAAAAGGTTAATGGAGAAAAAAATTTAAGTTTAGACCTGAAAGGTGAGTATGAGTTAGTTGGGCAAAGAAGTATACTGATAAATGTTTAATGGTTCATCCCCTTCCTTTCTTAAAAACCCTGACTTCTAGCACTGGACATTTTTTCTTTGTAGGGCAGGATCTTACTATGTAGTTGAGGCTAGCCTTGAACTCATGGCAATCCTCCTGCCTCGGCCTCCCAAGTAGTTGGAACTATAATGGTATACTACCATACCTGGCTTTCTTATATTTCTTTCACTGCTCTTAAATTTGAGATTCTTTTCATGAGTTTATTGACTATTTTTTACATGCCTGTTCGGAGCCTTTGACCAGCTTTAAGTCAGTTGTCAGTTTTTCTTATTAAGGTTTTTTTAGCTATTGGAAATGTCAGATCACCCTCTTTATAATATTTGTTGCAGTTTTTTAAAAATCAATCTATTGTTCTTATTACTCATCATGGACATTGTGTTTTCTGGCTGCCCAGAGGTTTTTGAACGTGACTTGGGAGTAATTTGTAAACTTTGTTTTGTCTTGTTAAGTGGAAGTAGAACACAAAGTAATTCAAGGTATTCCCTTATATTCAGAATATAAGACATTAGGCTGGAGGCTTACCTCTGGCAGAGCAAATGCTTAGCATACATGAGGGCCTAGGTTCAGTCCACAGCTACAAAGGAAAAAACAGAAGTCTGGGACATAGGTTTACCAACCAGACTGCTTAGTTGAATACTGAGATTTTTGAGTTGTTTATAAGGACATAAGCCTGTAACCCCAGCTACTTGGGAGGCTGAGGCAGAAAGACTGTAAGTTCAAGGTCAGGCTAGGCAACTTACTGAGACCTTGTCTCAAAAGTTTTTAAAAGGTCAGGCATGGAGGCACACACCAATCATCCCAACACTCTGGGAGACTGAGGCAGGAGGATCCCAAGTTTTGAGCCCAGCCTGGGCAATTTTGTGATTTAGCAAGACCCTTATCTCATTGCAAAGGCCCTGGGTTGGATCCCCAGTATGAATGAATGAATGAATGAATGAATGGCTCTGTGAGCAATTTAAAGGAAGCACACACAGAATCCGTTTCATCCACAAAAGTGGTAGCAGAGGCTGCAGCTTTCAGGCTAGGCAGTCTCAGCACAGCAGTGTTATTGGTTAGAAAGGGATGGTAATGCCTATGGCCATAGTACCCTAAATACACTTGATCTTAGAAGTCAAGCAGGGTTGGGCCTAATTTGTTCTTGGACTAAGAAGAAAGTGATAATGACCTTCCTCGTTTTTGATGGGGCTGCAGAAGAGTGGCAATTTCCTCACCAAAGCAGTTCTTCATATGATTTTGTTTCATTCCCACAGTTCAGCCTTGAGCCTGATGTTCTCCACCTCCTGAAAATTTTTGGACTACCTGAGATGCTTTTATTAAACTTTCCATTTGCCTTTTCAGCCAGTCAGTTGCTAGTACTTGGAACTAAAACTCTTTAACTGCTATATTGGCTTTGCTGTATAGAAAATTTTCATTTTTAGCAAGTCAAATCTGTCATTGCTCAGTTCCTGTTGGGCAAAAGTAAATTGATGGTTACTTTTAGACTTAGTATGTAAATGGTTATTATGGTGATTAATTCAGAAAACAAGATAGAAAGTTTTGAAGCATATAATCTAATATTACTGTAAATCATTATTTTCCATTTATTAAGTCCTAAAGACCTTACTTAGTGTTCACGCTTCAGGTTCCAACTTGAATATAGTAAAGCTTCATTTATTTATAAAACATTTATTAGACATTTTACCAATTTACAGTTGTCTTTTCAAATTTAAATGAGATTTTACTGAAGTTATTTTAGAAGTTGATCTTTATTATTATTTATAATAGCTTATCTAACATGTTTCCCTCCAATTTGTATTTTAGGCTTTCTTCAAAGACCCAAATGTTATTCCAAATTTACATTTACTTTCAGATTCTTCTGGACAGTGGATGACATTAGGTAAATAAAATTTATTTTCATCTTTTCAGATGACTATTTTGCTATTATAACAAAACTTTGCCTTAGAATTTTCATTATTAAAATACTAATTGTGGCTGGGTGCAGCAGTGCCTATAATCCCAGCTACTTGGAAGGCTAAGGCAGGCTTGAGATCAGCCTAGGCAATGTGGTGAGACCCAGTCTCAAAAAATATAAAGGTTGGGGCTGAGTTTAGTACTAGAGCACTCACCTAGCATATGTGAGTTGCTTGGTTCAATCCCTAGTGCCATAACAATTTAAATACAAATTATAAATAATGATTTGTCTGTTTGATAACATCACGATTAAGTTTGATCTTGTGCCAGGTCTGCCCTTCATCTCTCTCCTTGCAATCTACTGCTGTTGTCCTGACTTAGCCCACAAAAGTAATCTCTCTCCCTCTCTCTCTCTCTCTCTATTATTTTTTTATCATCTCTCTGTTTTGTTTTGCAATACTAGAGATTGAGCCCAGGGCCTTTGAACCCACTGAGCCACATCCCATGCCCTTTTTTTAATTTTTAATTTTAAAACAAGATCCCACTAAGTTGCCCAGACCGGGCTCCATCTTACCGTCCTCCTACCTCAGCTTCCCAGAGTGCTGGGATCACAGTGCTTGGGTGTGTGTACCACCACACCCAACTCTTTCATGAATTTAGAAGGCATTTGTTTTGCTCATTCCATGTATTTTGCTAGCTACAAGAAACATCACAGTAGGAGAAAACCTGTACTAAAGGAACTTGATATGTTAAGTTGTGTGTATGTGATATAATAATGTATTACAGGTTCTACCATAGAAATTAGAGCATGAAAAGAATGGAGTGGTCAATTCTAAATAGAGGGAAAAGATCAGGAAATTATCCACTAATATGGGAATGCTCGGGCAAAATCTCAGCTGCCTTGAGGACATGGATTTCTGACACAGGAATCAGCTACCGTGAAACTTTTAATAATAATATATCAAATCATGGAGTGTCTTAAATTTTCAGAAGGAGAACTTTGTATAGATAGCATTTTTATAACACATTGAAACACAGCTGAGCTATGTTCTGTTTGTAACCTTGAGAACTGTTTCAAACAAATCTGAATGTATAAAATAAGAGCAGATGGTCCCCAAAAACAAAGAAAGACAGCTATGAAATTTAAGAGAAAAATTACCCTCTTAATATTGATTTATGTATCTTAACTCTCAGGTCAAGAAAAAAATCAGACTCAGTAATAGACTATTCTGAAAACAAAAACATAAACATTATATTTTAAATTTAAGGTTGAAATCTCAACAATAGAACAAATAAAAGCATCGTTCCATTTAGAAAGAGAAGCTGGTTGATGATATGCATTTGTGTTCAAAAAAATGCAAATTGATGTGAAATTAGGTGTTTTTGTTGGGTGATCTTTTAGTAAATTATCACATTGTGTTTTTGTGGAATTCTAGAAGCCTTATTACAAAAAAAATCTTAAGTATGAGTCAATGACAAGATTACAAATAGTTCATGATGTTAGACTTAGTAGGTCAGATTTTTGGCTGAAGACTACTATAAAATTTATAGAGCAAAAACTGGTACAGTGTGATCTTCAGACTACTTACAAAATTAAGCTGAGTATCTGAGCACAAATGTACTTGCCAAGTCAAATTTTCAAAAAAGAATAGTCAGAACCATGTACCACAGTGTTTATAAAGCATGTTTACAATAACTTCAGTCATTCTTTGAAAAAAAATTAGGTTCACTGAAATAAATGTTCAGTCTTCCACCATATTGGTGCATACTTCACAAAATAACACTGACTTTTTTGTAGTTTTTAAATAACGATTACAAAAACAAAGGCTCTAAAATTCCACATGTGCCTGACAGGATCAGTTAGAAGTACTCTGAAAAATAGAGCATTTCATTTCAGAAGCAGTAGAATTCTACAAGAACTCTTCTATTCACTTGTTTGTATCTTTTTTTTTCTTTTCTTTTCCTGATACATTGGTCATTTTTCCTCTGGGAGCCTTTATAAGCCAAAGAATCAGCCTTTTAAAACAAGAAAAGTGAACTAATTCTAAGGAAAGTAATGATGGAGTTACACACCTGTAATCCCAGCACTCTGGGAAGCTGAGACAGGAGAATCATGAGTTCAAGCCTAGCTGGACAACTTAGCAATTTAGCAAGACCTTGTCTCGAAATAAGAAAATTTTAAAAAGGGTTGAGGATGTAGCTCGGTGTGAAGGCTCTGGGTTCAATTCCTAGTACTGCAAAGAAAAAAAGTAAAAAATGAAAAGAAAGAAAAAATGATGGAACCTTCTTTGCTGCTAGCTGCTCTGGCTACATGGCCAAGTATTAGTGCTGCTTCATCTTCTCAACCAGGTACTGTAGTCTCCTTCATTTATACACACTTTGCCTTTTTTGGAGAACATATAATGGATACTTCCTGTGTACATGCCCAGCTAAGGGCATCATTTACATTACCTTCTTTAATTCTAAGAGACATACATCAGTATTTTACAAATGAGGATTAGGAGCATAAGCTAAGTATTGTGTACAGTGTAACACAGCTGGCAGAATAACATTGAGATTTAAATACAGGCTCCAGAATTCAAGACCTTGACCACTACATTGTCTTGTTTCTGTCACTTCCATGTTGGGGTTGCCAAATTAAAAAAGGGGTACCTAGTGTATTATATATGCTAACATTTTCGGGAAGAAAATGTGATCTTAACTTTCTGTATGTGGTCCCAGTGATGCATGGCATATTGTTATGGTTTATAGCAAGAATGCCTCCCTGAGGCTCTTGGCAGGTAATTGAATTGTGGGGGCATTACAGCTGACTTGCTATTAGTTGGTGGGATCTGGTTAGAGGCAGATGACTGGGGACAGACATGGAAGGGTATATATCCCTCCATGGCTCCTGCCTTCTTTCTCTGCTTCCTGACAACCAAGATGTGGGCAGCTTTCCTCCACCATGCCCCGCTGCCGTGCTGATTCCACCTCAAGCCAGCAGACCATGAACTGTAGCCATGAGCCAAAATAAACCTCTCCTGTTTTAAATTGGGGGTGTCAGGTATTGCATCTCAGTGATGAGGAAAGTGACTAAAACGTATCTTTTAAGTGCTGGTGATGCAATTTAATAAAATTCCTACATAGCAAGATAGCTCATGTTAGTGGACTGACTTGTGCCCTTGCCTTGAATTCATGTTTTAGCCGTAAAGCCTCATTGTGATATTATTTGGAGGTGGAACTTTTGGGAGATAATTACATTTAGGTAAGATCGCAAACCTAGGGCTCTTACAATGAAATTAGTGCCCTTATAAGAAGAAGAAGAAACACCAGAGTATACGCCATGGGAAGACAACAGTCTTTTTTTTTTTTTTTTTCAGACTGGGTCTTGCTAAGTTGCCTGGGCTAGCCTAAAGTATTTGTTGACTTTCTATAATTTAATAGAAGTTTTAGTTAACATAAAATCCATTCCTGAAAGATACATTCAGGAAATAAGTATAGGAGAAGAGAAGAGGTAGAGTGCGAAGAACTAAAGCTATAAGAGAAAAATAATTGTTATTTTCAAATTTCTATAATTCTGAACTTGTGATAACTTAAGTAGGGCCTGGTTTGAAATTTACCTTGGCTTGAAAACTATTTTTTGTAATAAACACTATAGCCGGGCTTGGTGGCACATGCCTGGAATCCCAGCACTCAGGAGGCTGAGGCATGTGGATCACGGTGAGTTCAAGGTACATAGTGAGTTCAAGGCCGGTCTGGACTACATAACGAGACCTTGTTTCAAAAAAAAAAAAAAAAGCTATAAATAAGATTACAAAGGGTAAATTTTTCAATGAAAAGAAAATGTTTTCAAAACCTCAAGGACTTCACAAGTCCCATTAATTAAAATTTTTGTAATATGAATTATAAAACTTTAAGCACAGACTCATATAAATTAATGCCTATAGGCCATTCTAATAGATGCAGCAGCTACTACACACTCAAAGATATTTTATTTTCAAATACTCTCTAATTTATGTTCATCTAGTCCTGAAATGGTAAGATTTTGGTATAAATGTTTAATAATTAATAAAAATAAGCTGCAAAGAGCTAGGTATGGTGGTGTATGCCTGCAATCCCAGCATTGAGAGGCAGGAGGATTGCTATGAATTTGAGGCCAGCCTGGCAAGATTGTATCTCAAAAAAAAAGAGCTGCAAAGTAAGAATTTAATAAAATTCCTAAGTGTTTAAATACAGTTGTGTGTTGCTTAACAATGGACTACATTCTGAGAAATTCATCATTAGGTGATTTTCTTATGTGAACATCACATAGTATACTTAACAAATATAGATGGTGTAGGCCATTTAGTCAGTGTGGCCTGTTGCTGTAATGAAGAGATACAGTAAACATGAGATGTATGTAGGTGCTGCTGGCTTAACACAGCCTAATTTTTTACAGTAAACTTTTTTTAATAAATAGTATATTCAAATAATGATAGAAAGTATAGTATAGTAAATACATAAAATAGAACAGTCATTATCATCAAGTATAATGTACTGTGAATAGTTGTACGTGTTGTCCTTTTATATGGTAGGCTTGTTATACCACCATCTGCACAAACACATGAGTAATGCACTGTACAGTACTGTAATGTTATGACAGCTACAACACTAGGCAATAGGACTTTTTCAGTGCCGTTCCAATCTTACAGGACCAGTGTGTTATATCTAGCTGTCACTGACCAAAACACTGTTAGACAGCACATGACTATAGTAAAACATATATCATATTTAGTTACTCTTAAAACCTCCATAGTGATTTATTTTCAAAGTAATTAACTTTTATTTCTCTATAAAATACTTTAGGAACTGAAGTGAAAAAAGTTGAAGCTACAAATGTTCCTTGCACACAACTTTCAATGTCATTTTTTAATCGCTTATATGATGAAAATATTGTACGAGATACTGGACACATCATTAAGTGTTTAGACTCTTTTTGTGATCCATTTCTCATTTCTGATGAGTTACGAAAAGTAAGTATAGAATTTTAAATTTCGCAGTGGAATTTTATTTCAGGAAATGCAAAATGTGAAATATCTTTGCCTTCCTAAAATTCATTAAGTACTTGCTGTTAGTAAATATGATCACTAATAATCATCACATTGATATATTTCTTCTTGGATAGCATGCTTACTGTCAACTTAATTATTTGTGTATTTCAGTAGTTCTCACCTGGATCACTGATGTATGATGAGTAGAGGCAAGTAGTTTTCAACCAGGTGCTACTGACATCTCATAGGTAGCGATGCTGCTAAACACTGTACAACTCAGAGGAAGGTACCTCACAACAGTTACCTGGCCCAACATGTAGTGCAGAGGTGAAAAACTAGCCCAGTAAATTCATGGATATTTTTCTTCAATATGGAACTCTTAATATATCAAATTAATATTAAAATATCCATGGTGTAAAAAATTCTTTTTATCTCATTGCTAAAATCAACAAAGCTATATTAAATTGGCTAAATTAAATTTTTAGTGAAAGGTACACTAAACTCAATGTTAGAATACATATTTATCATCCAGGAATTTAGCTCAGTGGTTCTGCCTCCTGCCTTATAAGCAGAAGGACCCGAGTTTGATCCCAGTGCCAAAAGAAAAAAAACTCACTGCAGAATACATACTTATCTAATTTCTTAAACAGTAGTAACCTTATGCAAATCATTCAACTCCTACCCTCCACCCCCATACTGGGAGTTGAACCCAAGGCCTTCACACTAAGCTATATCTTCATCCCCTTTTTTATTTTTTTATTTTGTGACAGGGTCTCATTAAGTCACTAAGTTGCCCTGACTGGGCTCAAATTTATGATCCTGCCTCAGTCTCCCAGAGTTGTGGAATTGTAGAAATGGCTACTATACCCAGCACAAATCAGTTCAGTGTTTTGAGCCTCAGAATCTTACTTAAACAACAGAGATGAACATGCTTATTCTGCTTTCCTAAAGCATTGAGAAAATGAGTTGAGAAAGCATTTAAATGTATACTTGAAAGTATGAGATTCAGCCAGGCATGATGGCAGATGCTCATATTCTCAGCATTCAGGCTGAGTAAAAAGATTGCCAAGTTTGAGGCTTACCTGGGCTACACAGTGAAACTATCTAAAAAAACAAAGTATGAAATGCTGTTAAATGTGTAAATATGTATTAAATATATATATAGTATTATGACTACGGTATTACTAAAATAGTTAAAAATTAGAGCTTTGTTGTCAAATAGACATAGGTTCAAATTCAGACTGTCATTTTGCTTTGTCTTTGAGATGGTCTCACTATGTAGCTCAGGCTGGACTTGAACTCACTGTGTAGCCTAGGCTGGCCTCGACTTCATAATGATCTTCCTGCCTCAGCCCCCTGAGTGTTGGGATTATAGGTGTGCACCACCATGCCTAGCTCTGTCATTTAATAATTGTGATACTTAATCTTTCTAAGCCTGAGTTTCCTCATCTATAAAGTAGGCATAATGTAAGAATTATGTGAGACAATGCATTTAAAGTGCTTAGCATAATGCCTGTCACTTAGTAAAGTCTGTAACACTAACAACTACTACTATTACTATTATTCTCCATTAAGAGAGAAGGGAGAGGGGCTGGGGATTTAGCTCAGTGGTTCCAGCGCCTACCTTGCAAGCTCAAGGTCCCAAGTTTAATCCCCGGTACCAAAAAAAAAAGAGAGAAGGGAGATGTACAGTTCTAATGTATTGCAAATCCAAATAGAAGTGTAAGAAGGAAGCTGTTGATTTACTAGTCTGGACATAGGAATCTTGTTTGTAGGAGAAAGGGAGGCAGCCAGTCAATCTATACATAAATCTCCATTAGAGTGGTGCCTAAAAGCTGAGTTTAAGAAGGAAACAAAATTAACTTATTGGAAATAACCAAACACACAATTAAATGAGACTATATATAGTTTGATTTTAATTAAATGAAGTATACTTATATGTAATGTGAGATAATATAAATATTATACAATGAGGATCTGACATTAATTTCTACTCCAAGGGTTAGATATTATCATTTAAGAAATGTTTGGTTTGGGTCTCCCTTCTTTTCCTTTTGGGTATCTCTAATTGCATCTCAGCTCCTTTTCCCTCCCTCCCTGTCTCCCTTTCCCCCTCTCCCTTCTCCCTTCCCTCTCTTCTTTCTCTCTTTTCTGTCTCTCTCTCTCTCCCCACTGCCACCTTCCTGCCTCAGCCTCCCAAGTGCTGAGATTACAGGTGTGCACCACCACACTCAGCTAAAACTTGGCTGCTTTCTGCCTTAAAAAAAAAAACCAAAACTTCCACCTTTTGCCTGAACTAGAAAGCTCTCGTCCCACTGTGCAGCAGTACAGATTGTATCGGCATGCTATAATGTAAGAACTGATAATAATGTCCTTCTTGACTGCAGCTCAGAAGGTTGACTCATTAACCATTGCTTCCCTGATACCTGAAGGGTGTATAGCCAGAGATGTGTACGTGAATAGTGAAGGAGAACAGCTATAGAATGTTATCTTTAACATTCATTCCAAACATTTTTAAAATTACTTATATTTTTAATTTCATAGCCCAGCCGGGCATGGTGGTGCACACCTATAATCACAGCACTCAAAAGGATGTGGCAAGAGGATCACTGCAAGTTCAAGGCCATCCTTGGCTACATAGTGAGTTCAAGACCAGGCTAAACTACATAGTGAAACCCTATCTCAAAAATCCAAAAAATTAAATTACACAGCTTAATCAGTTCAGTATATGAGATTGCTCATGTAAAAAATGTGTTAACTGTTCACTATTCACTTGTAAGTACTTTATTTACCCTAGTGTGTATATCATCAGGAAGCCACTAACATGGGCTTTACTAACACATCATTTTCTTACAGAGGAAAGGAGAGAGGAAGTTAGGAAATGGAGATGGGCAAGTGTTACATGTGGCACATCCAGAGAACAACAAGCTATGGACTACTTCCCCTCACCTGTCTCTTACTGTATATAACATTGGCTTTCATCAAGTCATTATAAATAAACTGTGTATGGATAAGACCATAGGTTGTATTATTCTTTAAATGCATCTTATCTAGTGCCCTTGTGATAAGTGTAACCAAGCCAGGTGTGATGCCATATCCCTGCAGTCCCAGTACTTGGGAGGCTGAGGCAGGAGGACTATTGAGTTTGAAGCCAGCCTGGATTACATAGTGAGATCTTGTCTCAAAAATAAATAAGCATAGTCAGTTTTCCTAATTAAATATATTTCTTGCTTCTGGACAATGATTCTTATATAACTCACCATTATCCCCTCTTGTATGATCATGTTAGTGTTATACACTATTTTGTTTTTCTTTCAGGGTTCTGGGGCTTGTACCCAGAGCCTCACACATCTTAGTTAAGAACTCTGTCTCTGAGCTGTGCCCTTTGCCCCACCCCTTTTTAATTTTTATTTTGAGACAAGATCTTGCTAAGTCACTCAGGCTGTCATTGAACTTGGGATCCTCTTGTCTCAGCCTCCTGAGAGGCTGTCATTATAGATGTGTACTACCATGCCCAGGTCCTGTGCTCAATTTTTATAGCTTTCTCCCTCCAGAATCCTTTATATAGAGAGAATTCTCTTCCCACTGTATTTCCTTACACTTTTCATATTTTAATATTTTGGTCTTATTGTGTCTATATTTTATTGTTAACTATTTCACATTCTTTTTCAGAAGGAGGTAGGGTATAAACAGTTCCATAAAAGAAATAGTATTTTTTTGTTTGTTGATTGCACATTGCCCCACAATTGTCTCAGAATTGGTTCTTAAGTCTAGGGGCTGGAACTGTGAGTGAGTAGTAAAGCACTTGCCTTGTATGTGCCAGCCCCTGGGTTTGATCCCTGTAGCACCACACACACCTACACATAAGAAGTCTGAGATTGGGGTAGAAGGTGTGGCTCAGTGACAGAATTGCTTGCCTAGCTGAGCAGAGAGCTCTTAAGTTTGATCCCCAGCACCACAAAAATAAATAATAGGTCTAAAATTACTTTTAAATATGTAATAAGTTGGAACTTTAAAAAATTAGTACCTTGAATTATATCACATTAAGATGAATTTTATCATCTTAGGTTTTATTAGTGGAAGACTCAGAAAAATATGAAGTATTCAGCAAACCAGACAGAGAGGAGTTCCTGTTTTGTCTTTTTAAACATCTTTGCCTTGGTGGATCCCTTTGTCAATATGAAGATGTGCTTAATCCATATCTGGAAACCGCAAAGCTTATCTATAAGGATCTGGTGAGGTAATGTTGCTAGATTACAATACGTAAATCTCTAGTTGGTGGAGAAAATTATTTAACTATTTTGGAGATTACCCAGCATCTCACAGTGGTCATATTAACAACTGGAGTATGTAAAAATAGCACTATCCTACCATCTTGTACCTCCTCCCTCTCTTGCAGGCCAGAAAGATTCCTAGATTTCCCTGACTCTCTCTTAGTTCTCAGTACTTTCATTCTTCATTTATCTCTTCCTTCTTCATTCAGAACTGTCACCTACTCCCTTATTAGCAACTGCCTTCTTATAGGCCTCCCAGCCAGCCACCTCCTTTTAAATATCAAAGGAACACAAGATCCCTCAGGATGTTTGAGTTTGCTCAGCACAGAGTGAAAAATGATTACCTTTGTTCTAAAAATGTGGAAGAATTTTCATCTAGGTGTAATCTTCACTTCCTAAATTAATCTCACAATATACAGTTAATTTTAGGTGTTTTACTTGGATTTTGAAGGTCAAATGAGATTTAAAGCTTTATTAATTTTTTTATTCATACTTTTAACTAAGGTCATTCTTTTCTGTTTGAATTTTTCACCTATGAAGATACTGTATCATCTGTATAGGCAAGGAGGATAGAAACAAGAAAAAGCGTAAGTTTTTTGAGTTTAGTTGTATAATTTTACTTTATTAGGAAAACTGCAGAATTAGCTTCTCATCAGTCTTAATTAATTGACTTATACACAACACCTTAATTCTCATGTCCATTCCATAACTATATAAAAATTCCACAATTTAGTTGCTTTACTTGATTTCTGATACGGTTTTTTATAATTATGTAAGAGGATCTGATGTGATTTTTAAAGCAAAAATATTTCTATAATCTACTTTTAATGAAAAAGTTGCATCAATACATAAAGATTATTTGAAGAGATGTTAGAAACAGAATATCAGAAAAAGTGCTCACAAATCTACATCAAACATATTCTCTAATAATGTGAAGGTCAACCAATCTGTCATATGAACCTGTGGAATTCCTCACTACGATGGGCTGTGAAAGAAATTCTGTTGGAAATACTTGAAATAGAAATAACCTTAGAGCCTATAACGGCCATTTTCCCCAGCATTCCATTCCTTGGATTATCTGTGATTCTCAGCTATGTCTAAGTTTTTGCTTTTTTGTTATTATTATTTTTCTGGTACTAAGGGAATGAACCCAGGGTCTTCCACATGCTAAGCAAGTTTTCTACCACTGACCTATATCCCCAGCTTTTTAAAAAATTAATTAATTAATTGATTGATTTTATGATACTGGAGATTGAACCCAGGTCTTCACACATGCTAGTAAAGTACTCCACCACTGAGTTAGACATCCACCCCTGTGTCACTTGTCACTAAGACAAAAATTTGTACCAGGGAAAAGTTTGTCCTGAAAAGTAATGATTGCTCACAAAATGAGCAGCCAAAATTCATGACATCTTACAGGAAAAAAAGCAGTTGTCTCTGGCAATCCGTCATGCAGCCAAAAAGAATTGATATTATGCACAGAATTCTAACAGGCTTTAAAAGACCTATATAAAGAGTGTCATACAGTCTTTGACTTCAAGAAAATTACAACAAACTAATATATGCTAGTAAAGGAATAGTTTAAAATCTTTAAGAAAAAAATTATTTATATAATCAAATATTCAGCTTTATACTTACAGTCTTATTCTCTAATACAAACCCCAGAAGTTCACAAGAGAAAACGATCAGTTGTGGGTGTCAGCAGTCATGAAGTTTGATGAAATGAAGTCCATAGGACCAAACAAAGAGAAGTGTAGTCCATTCCCAGTGTAGGAGAAGTGCTTCAAAGTCTGAAAGTCTAGAGGAGGCCAGGAAGGGGACCGGCCCAACTGCAATAGTACTTTGAGAATCATTAAATATTTCTTCTGATGGTGCACGTTTGCTTCTTTGTTTTTATGTAAGTGGATGATGAACCCAGGGCCTTCACACTGAGCTACATCCTCTGCCCTTTTCTTATTTTTTATTTTGAAAGAGGGTCTTGCTGAGTCACTAAGTTGCCCAGGCTGGGACTGAATTTGTGATCCTTCTGTTTCAGCTTCCTGAGAGCTGAGATTACAGCATGTGCTGCTATGTGCAGCAGTCATCTCCAGCCCTTTTTATTTTTTTATTTTGAGACATGATCTCACTAAGTTGCCCAAATGGTACTCAAACTTTACTACTCACTGCACTTGGCCGCAAAGTGTCTTCTTTTCAAAGATTATTATTCCTTTAAATCAAGTAAGCAGTAGTTTAGAGCCACATTATTAAATAACAAATGATCAGTTGTTTCATTATATTTCAAAAATATTTGTGCAGAGGGCCAGGGATTTAGCTCAGTGTTGCTGCTGCCTGCCTTGCAAGTGCAAGGTCCCAACTTCGATCCCTGGTACCAAAAAAAAAAAAAATATGTGTGTGTGTGTATAAAATGGTACCTTCATCCTCTAGTTATACTTTTAAAAAGCAACATATGAAGCCAGATGTGCCTCTTACACACCTGTAATCCCAGCACTCTGGGAAGCTGAGTCAAGAAGATCACAAATTTGAGCTAAGCCTGGACAACTGAGCGACTTAGACCCCATCTCAAAATTTTAAAATAGGGCTTGTTACTGTTTAGATCTAAAATGTATCCCAAAAGTCTCCTATGTAAAGAGATGGTGCCTGTTCAGAAAGGGGTGTCACTGGGGCTGTGCCCTGGATCAATGTATTCTTTTTTTTTTTTTTTGATACCAGGGATTGAACTCAGGATCTTGCACTTTTGAGGCAGGCAGCAGAAACACTGAGCTAAATCCTTGGCCCCTGGATCAATGTATTCTTGTCCTCCACTTCTCTTCTCACTCTCCTTCCTGGCTCCTGTGGAATGAGCAGTGGTCATCCACCATGTCATTTCTTCCTTGGAGACAGACAACCATGAAATGAACCCACTGGAAACCATGAGCCAAAAAAATTTCTCTTTCCTTAAGTTATAGGTGTCAGGTATTGTGTCCTAGTGACAACTGATATAGGGCTGGAGATGTACCTCAGTGGTAAAGTACTTTCCTAGCATGTGTGAAGCTCTGGGTTCAATCTCCAGCACCATAAAATCAATCAATTAATTAATTAATTTTTTAAAGAGCTGGGAATATAGCTCAGTGGTAGAAAACTTGCTTAGCATGTGGAAGGCCCTGGGTTCCTTCCCTAGTACCAGAAAAATAACAATAAGAAAAAAGCAAAATCTTAGATAAATTATTTTTGAAATATTTAAGTAATCTTAGTGTAGGAACAGATGCAATAGAATGGAATAATATAACTTATTTTTATTAGAAATCAACTCCTAAGAATGTACAAATGGCAGTTTCTTTTTTAAGTACTATGGTTATGGTATAGGTAATGCCTGTTAGACAATTATTACATCAAGTATCAAATACTAAATTTTCATCTAAGCTCATTTTGACAAGGACAAACTTTTACAAACGTATTTTTTTCTTTAGACTTTTTAACAGGGTAATTTACATATAGTAAAGTAAGCGAATGATAAGTGAACATAGAATTAAACTTCAATATATGATTTCACTATATACCTACCCTCAGATTAAGTTTTAAAATTAGATGTAACCACAAATGTGTTATTTATTTTGATCTAGGTGATTATATAGGTATTTACAGATGTTTTATATGCAGTGGTTGTCATTCTTTGGATAAACACAAAATTTTAAATCTCATCTTCAACTTGCCCTATATCTTAGGCATTAGAGAAATAAAAAGAAAATGACATTGACCTATATCATAAAAACATTTGGAAGTCAATTTAATTGTTTATCTTGTGGGTTTAAGTCTGAATGAAATGCTTAGGAGAAAACTGCCTAGGACCCTCTAACCCTGAAATGGCTAGGGCTAGCCATCTGCAAAAAGTATTCAAGATTACACACACACCCCTCTCATATAGTCCATCTTTTTCTGCCTTCTCTTTCTCTCTTACCATTATTTTTTCATACATAGTAGAAGGGAACCAACACTTGCATCTGATGTGGGAAAAAGCAGTATCTTCCTTTTAATTTTCCTTATTAGGTTATGCATGAACAATACATTTGATGCATATGTATTTATGGAGTATACAAGTATGAACTAAACAGCTGATACACAGGAGAAAAGAGATTGGATTTCGAGTCAGCTGGATTCTCTTTCTGGGAATGTCATTTTTACTTGAATCATTGTAAATATATCATTTGACTTCTCTACTTTTCTTTTCTATAAAATGGGCAAAATAACACTTACCTCGATGAATCACGTGATCTTTCAACAACCTAATGTTTATAAAGATATTTTGTAAACTATAAGCATTATAAGAATGTACATATAACAAATATATAAATATGTACCTGTAGTTTATTTCCTCAGTCTTTAGCTTGCTTCCTTCCTACATATTGCCATAGGTGATCTTTTGTAGGAAGAGTAACTGAGTTATTGAGAGAAAAATATTTTTAATATGATACAATATATAATTTTGCAAATAGCTTTCATATATTTGTTATCTTATCCTAGAAGGAACCATATCATCCCCAATTTACATCTGAGAGAATTGAGGTTCAGAAAGGTTAATTTTGTGCAAAGTGAAATAACTCAGTGGCCAAACGGGCATTTGTATTTAGATTGTTTAATTCTTTTCTCTTTTTTTTTGTTTTTGTTTTTGTTTTTTGAAACAGGGTCTTGCTGTGCAGTTCAAGCTGGCCTTGAACTCACTATGTTATCCAGGCTGGTCTCATTGCAGCCCTCCCGCCTTAGCCTCCCAAATGGTGGGTTTAGCCTGGCTAGATTGTTTAATTCTTTAGTATGCTTTTATCTACTCCTGATAACTTACTAAACTTCAATCTGACTTTTATAAACCTCTGTTTATCTAATAATTATCTCTTTGACGTGGTAAAATAATTTCATCATCTGAGTCTCAGACTGACCACATAGCTTCTAAATGTAAAATTCAATTATCTACAGAAATTTCAATTCAGTTGATATTGCCTTGGATGAAGACTCAGGTGCCATCCTTTACAAACCACTTTGGTTGGATATTTTGCATTTCCATGTTCTGTATTAATAAGAACACTTAAATACCAAAAAGAGGTCATTACTTAAAGTGTGGCATGCCAGTGTTTACACACACACTCACACACACACACACTTTTTTATGGCTTTAAGATGAGTTTATTAGCTCAGCAGTCAAAGCCAAGTTTTCCTCCAGGGCTGTTTACCTGTATAATTGACACTTGTCTATTTCCTCACTGTCAAGTTTCTCTATAAACTCAGTTTTATTTCCTTATGGCTGTAGGTTGTAATCCAGGCCAGTTGGTGATATCTTTCCCTTAGGTCTCTTCAACTGGTGATATCCATATTACTCTACTTCAAATATCACAATTTTAACATGTTTAACTTTTCTGAAATCTAGATGTATCTTCCTATCCAAGTATGTACTTGTATGAAGTTTCTGTCTTTTTTTGTTTCCTTTTAAGAATTGTTATTAAATTAGTGCTTTGACTTCAATCAGTGGTGTCTCAGAAATCAAAGTTCAGGAGTCATGGTACTTCTTGTTGTATGCATGGAATCCAAAGGGCTACAAGCCCACTCATAATTTCCTGTACTCCTGCCAGCCAGTATTTCACATACCCCATCATTTGAGCTTATTACTTTGACCCACATCCTTATGGTGTCCTTTACCACTGTGGGCTCTATATTTTTAAATTTTTAATTAGATGTATTTGAATTGTTTGTTACATTTTAAATGTACTTTTATCTTTTTTTTTTTTTTTTTTTTTTTAAGTGTGCGAAAACATCCTCAAACCAAGAAAATACAAATTACTTCTTCTGTCTTTAAAGTTGCAGCCTATGTAAGTATTGAGGGAAATTTGCAACAAAAGAAATTAATTACTTATTATTAATGGAGTTGTTACAGCTGAATCTGTTGGTACATGCCTGTAATCCTAGTGTTCTAGGAAGCTGAGGTAGGTTCAAACCTATCCTGGGCAATTCAGTGACTTAGACCCAGTCTCAAAAAAAATTTTTTTTTCTCGGTACTGTGGATAAAACTTAGGACCTTGTGCTTACAGGGCAGGTGCAGCGCCACTGAGCTAAATCCCCAGACCTCACAAATATTTTTAAAAGCCAGGGATTTAGCTCAGTAGTTCCACCACCTGCCTTGCAAGCGTGAAGACCCAATTTCGATCCCCGGTACCCAAAAAAAAAAAAA